GAAACGTCGTGCAAATTATACAAATACACTCTATAGTAAATCACTTCTTTTCTTCACCTTAAAAGTACGAAATGAGTTTTGGAGAACTCCTATTCCAATTAAGCCCTGATGCTAAGAAAATAGTTACAGGGATAGAAGCCCTAAACCAGAAAATAATAATAAATATATATATATATATATATATATATATAATATATATATATATATATATATATATATGTCGTACCTAGTAGCCAGAACTCACTTCTCAGCCTACTATGCAAGGCCCAATTTGCCTAATAAGCCAAGTTTTCATGAATTAATTGTTTTTCGACTACCTAACCTACCTAACCTAACCTAACCTAACTTTTTCCACCACCTAACCTAACCTAACCTATAAAGATAGGTTAGGTTAGGTTAGGTAGGGTTGGTTAGGTTTGGTCATATATCTACGTTAATTTAAACTCCAATAAAAGAAATTGACCTCATACATAATGAAATGGTTAGATTTATCATTTCATAAGAAAAAAATTAGAGAAAATATATTAATTCAGGAAAACTTGGCTTATTAGGCAAATCGGGCCTTGCATAGTAGGCGGATAAGTGCGTTCTGGCTATTAGGTACGACATATATATATAATATATATATATATATATATATATATATATATATATATATGACACTGTCAGACCACGGAGGAAAATGAAACAGGAATTTCCTTAAGTACTTTCGTATATTAAATACATCTTCAGAAGGTATAAGATACCTTCTGAAGATGTATTTAATATACGAAAGTACTTAAGGAAATTCCTGTTTCATTTTCCTCCGTGGTCTGACATTGTCACATTCTTAATCACGTGTTTATTTTCGTGATATACACACATATATATATATATATATATATATATATATATATTATATATATATATATATAATTATATATATATATATATATATATATATAGACAGTGTCAGACCACGTATTTGTATTAATATACGAAAGTACTTAAGGAAATTCCTGTTTAATTTTCTTCCGTGGTCTGACGCTGTCACATTTTTAATCACGTGTATATTTTCGTGATACACACACACACTATATATATATATATATATATATATATAATATATATATATATATATATATATATATATAATATATATGTCGTACCTAGTAGCCAGAACTCACTTCTCAGCCTACTATTCAAGGCCCGATTTGCCTAATAAGCCAAGTTTTCCTGAATTAATATATTTACTATAATTTTTTTCTTATGAAATGATAAAGCAACCCTTTTCTCTATGTATGAGGTCAATTTTTTTTATTGGAGTTAAATTAACGTAGATATATGACCGAACCTAACCAACCCTACCTAACCTAACCTAACCTATATTTATAGGTAAGGTTAGGTTAGGTAGCCAAAAAAGCTAGGTTAGGTTAGGTTAGGTAGGTTAGGTAGACGAAAAAACATTAATTCATGAAAACTTGGCTTATTAGGCAAATCGGGCCTTGAATAGTAGGCTGAGAAGTGCGTTCTGGCTATTAGGTACGACATATATATATATATATATATATATATATATATATATATATATATATATATATATATATATATATATATATATATATATATATATATATATATTATATATATGTATATTAACAATTATAATAATTATAATTAAATATGATAACTTACATGTTCATGAACTTGGAGGTCATTTCGACCATCTGGGTGGGTGTTGGTGTGAGTTCCGTCGGTGGGGCGTTGGCATTGAGCACCACCAGAGGTGCTGACCACAGCCCCATCCAGGACAACAATTTCAGCAGTCTCGACATCATCCTCGCTCCTCTGTTGCCTCTTTCAGGTCAATACACCTTACAGCCTCACGTCAGCAGACGGACTCAGGCTATATCAGGTCAGTACTGCCAGTCACTTCAGGGGAATGGTACCTTAGTGACACAGCAAGTCACTTCAAGACACCAGGGCAGGTCACTTCAAGACCTCATATGCGGGCATCCTGGTCGGGACAGAAAAATATAATTTTGTTAGCAATTTCGTTTATTTTGTGGCTGTGTGCAGTCCATCACAACCTCACTGATCATGTCACAGAGTCTACAGTGAATATGGTGTTGAGGCAATGAGAGATCATGACCCAATTAAGTACTAAGAGGTGTGGAGACCTAACCTCATTTATCGTAAAGTCATGGAGGTTCCTGAATAACTGTGGAACAGTGCTACAGTGAGGTGTGTGTATGGTGCATGTGGATGATTGTAAATTACAGCACTGTAGACAGCTGTGAAACTGTTAATTAGTGACTGGTGCTTGACTGATATCAGGCAATACTGTGGGCAATAGTACTGCCAGTGATTAATATAATGACATTGCATAATGATGTACGGTGAATTGAACAGCTCCATGAATGGTTTTACTGACGTTAACAGTGACTGCAGGAATTAATAGTGTAAGTAAATAATAACATCAGAGACATAATAAAAATACAATAAGGAGACATTCTTCAACCAGAGATAATTTTATGGGAAGTTGTAAAATCCTTCGCCCTTGGAATTGGCAGTTAGGCGAAGAGTTAATGAAGGTCAATGAGAACCTGTTTTCTAGGTCCAAAAGTGTGACATCAGTGCGCCAGAGAAGTCACAGGTTTCAAACCTGTTGGGTTCTTTGGTTAGTGTTGAGGTCGTCCCATGGTGCTGGTGGCATAGGATGGTATCTCTTGGTTAGTGTTGAGGTCGTCCCATGGTGCTGGTGGCATAGGATGGTATCTCTTGGTTACGTCATCTGCAGTAAAGGGGAGTTGGATGGAAACTATCAGGGTATAAAGCCAAGCCATTACGACTATATAGCACTTGGAAGGGGGGGTCAGGATGAGGATTTGGGATGGGACGGGGGGAAGGAATGGTGCCCAACCACTTGTGGACGGTCGGGGATTTAACACCGACCTGCAAGAAACGAGACCGTCGCTCTACCGTCCAGCCCAAGTGGTTGGGCTGGACGGCTCTCGCCTGGCGCTCCGCGAGCGCTTTGTCATGGGTTCGTATCCTGGCCGGGGAGGATTTACTGGGCGCAAATCCTTAACTGTAGCCTCTGTTTAACGCAACAGTAAAATGTGTACTTGGATGAAAAAAACGATTCTTCGCGGCAGGGGATCGTATTCCAGGGACCATAGGATTAAGGACTTGCCCGAAACGCTACGCGTACTAGTGGCTGTACAAGAATGTAACAACTCTTGTATATATCTCCAAAAAATCATTGTTAACAAAGCTGCCAAAGTTTGAGAAAAGATGGACAGGTTCGTAAGTGCTTGCGTAACTGCTTCGTGAATCTGGCCCCTGGACAACAAGATCCTTAAAGACCACTCCTTGCAATGTTCCATTGTAGGCGGAGAATTGTTGATCCACCTAAAAGATGATTGTAAATGGACCTACAATGTGGCTGGTGGTGGACCGACCACCGCGTTCCATAATTGTGATGACCATTCCACATTAGGAATGTTGAAGCCATTATAAAGCACACCAATGATTGCTTTATTACAGAGATACAGGAAATAAATATTTTGTATGATCAGAGAAACTTAAACATCTTGGTCTTTGTTTATCCCTTATGCACGAGAGGCTGGTTCGAACCCCTCTTTAACAAGGAAGCTATCTTGAGGTTATCTTGAGATTATTTCGGGGCTTTTTAGTGTCCCCGCGGCCCGGTCCTCGACCAGGCCTCCACCCCCAGGAAGCAGCCCGTGACAGCTGACTAACACCCAGGTACCTATTTTACTGCTAGGTAACAGGGGCATAGGGTGAAAGAAACTCTGCCCACTGTTTCTCGCCGGCGCCTGGATCGAACCCAGGACCACAGGATCACAAGTCCCGCGTGCTGTCCGCTCGGCTCCCTCAGCAAGGCAAGCTACTTGAACTCTCTCACCGTCCCCATCCCAAATCCTTATCCTGATCCCCCTTCCAAATGCTGTTTAACCGTAATGGCTTGGTGCTTTCCTCTGATAGTTCCTTTCCTTCCTTCCTTCCACTCACTTAACCCTTACCTTCACTCACTTACCCCTAACTTCACTCACTTAACCTTACCTTCACTCACTTAACCCCCTAACTTCACTCACTTAACCCTTACCTTCACTCACTTAACCCCTAACTTCACACACTTACACCCCCTAACTTCACACACTTAACCCCTAACTTCACTCACTTAACCCCCTAACTTCACACACTTAAACCCCTAACTTCACACCTTAACCCCCTAACTTCACTCACTTAACCCCTTACTTCACTCACTTAACCCCTTACTTCACTCACTTAACCCCTTACTTCACTCACTTAACCCCTAACTTCACTCACTTAACCCTTACCTTCACTCACTTAACCCCTAACTTCACTCACTTAACCCCCTAACTTCACTCACTTAACCCCCTAACTTCACACACTTAACCCCCTAACTTCACTCACTTAACCCCCTAACTTCACACACTTAAACCCCTAACTTCACACACTTAACCCCCTAACTTCACTCACTTAACACCCCTAACTTCGCTCACTTAACCCCCTAACTTCACACACTTAACCCCCTAACTTCACACACTTACTCACCCCCTAACTTCACACACTTAACCCCCTAACTTCACACACTTAACCCCTTACTTCACTCACTTAACCCCCTAACTTCACACACTTAACCCCCTAACTTAACAACTTCACACACTTTCACACACTTAACCCCTAACTTCACACACTTAACCCCCCTAACTTCACTCACTTAACCCCCTAACTTCACACACTTAACCCCCTAACTTCACACTTAACACTTAACCCCCCCCACTAACTTCACACACCTTAACCCCCTAACTTCACACACTTAACCCCCTAACTTCACACTAACTTCACACACTTAACCCCCTAACTTCACACACTTAACCCCCTAACTTCACACACTTAACCCCCTAACTTCACACACTTAACCCCCTAACTTCACACTTACTAACTTCACACACTTAACCCCTAACTAACTTCACACACTTAACCCCTAACTTCACACACTTACCCCCTAACTTCACTCACTTACACACTTAACCCCCTACCCCCTAACTTCACACACTTAACCCCTAACTTAACCCCCTAACTTCACACACTTAACCCCCTTAAACCCCCTAACTCACTCACTTAACCCCCCTAACCCTAACTTCACACACTTAACCCCCTAACTTCACACACTTAACCCCCTAACTTCACACACTTAACCCCTAACTTCACTCACTTCACACCCTTACCTTCACTCACTTAACCCCTAACTTCACTCACTTAACCCTTACCTTCACTTCACTCACTTAACCCCTAACTTAACCACTTCACTTAACCCCTAACTTCACACACTAACCCCTAACTCCACTCACTTAACCCTTACCTTCACTCACTTAACCCCTAACTTCACACACTTAACCCTTACCTTCACTCACTTAACCCCTAACTTCACACACTTAACCCCTTAACTTCACTCACTTAACCCTTACCTTCACACACTTAACCCCTAACTTCACACCCTTAACCCCTAACTTCACTCACTTAACCACTTAACTTCACTCACTTAATCCCTTACTCCACCTCCCTTTCCAGCCCGTTGTCGTCGTGAGGGAACTTGGTGGGCGGCTGCCGGGGTGTGATGCTCCATTGGACGGTCCTCTGTCCTTTTGTGGCCTTGTGCTCCTGCTGCCGTCATCGCTAATTGTGCTGGTGGTTACTTCCGCTTACTTATGCTTCATTTTCCCCTTCCCTCTTCTCCTTTCTCATTGTCTTTCCCACTGACCTTTTGCCATTCTTGATTATTCTTTCACACATCTTCTGTTTTGACACCCGGGTGTTTGGGGAGGCACACTCTTTCACCCATAGAACTGTGGTACCCGACGTTGTGAGCGAGGGGGCGTGTTACGACCCTGGGTTCCTTAGTCGGAAACCAGAGGTCAAATTGAGCTCTAAATAATTATTTTACATTAATTGATAGTAGTGCTGATGCGCTTTTGTTCCTATCTTCCTTGACAGATGTAAGACGAATCTTGGTTCTCACAGAGCATTCAGACTCTGAGCTTGTTGTTGATTAATTATAACTTGGATCTAATTATCAGCTATTCTTAGAATGTTTAAAGTAACTAGTAAGGAAGGTCTGAGTAAACTTGGGTTGATGTCAGCTGTACAATCAGCTGAATATCCATCCGGCAGCAACTGAGTGGGAGGCAGGAGGACGCTGGGTCGTTCTTCTGTGTTCGGGCTGTGGTTGTGGCAACATCTTCCCTGTGTGGCTCTGTCTCCATTCTCCTCCTTCTCTCTTTCCCTTACCTTAAGCTACCGTAACTGCTAAGTTAAGTATAATCCTATGTAACCGTGCTACTAGCTAGGCTTGTGTGATATGTATAGATATTGTGTAGTATAAGCCAGTGTTTTGGGTATCCCTAAGTGTTTGTGTAGTGATAAGGTACCACGTGGGGCTCACTACCCCGAGCTGCTTCAAGATTTTGAGTTCTTTACAAGTAGACTTTACCCTAGCTTGTCCTAATTGTAAAACCTTGTATCCTGCCTATGTGGACCAAGGCTTTTAACCTTAGATAGTGTGGTAAAGTAGTTATTGTTATGATAGTACTGTATATGGGGGGGGGGTTTGTTAGAGGAGTTAATAAATAAGTAATATTAAAGGAGTATCCATTCTTACTGTGCAGGGGACCAGTGATCAAATCCTAGACTGATGTATTTACCTTAAGCCACTGTTTAATATTGTTTTATGTTCTTATTGGGGCCGAGCCTATCTGATCTCCACTAATTTTGATACATCCTGATTCTAGCTATTGGCCCCGCTCCTCTTTAATACTCTATACCCCCGTAACAAGTAAGCAAATTCATAACAGGGCACTTTTATTGTTAATCCTCGCCTTCGTTGCTGAACCTGATCTCGATGGACTGAGGTTCTTAAGGTGGCGATTGCAGGGCGTATTCTTAGGATGCATGTCGGGTGTCCTA